CTTTATCGGTGTCTCGCAGGGGTTGGATTTCAACCCGTGGTCGGTTTGGACACTTCGAGTCAGATGTTGGGAATTCGTGACATGTTGACTGAGTTTTTGGGTCTCAAACTGGTTTTCGAAAAGCGAGCCGTCTAACGGGCGGGGCGGAGCGTCTCTGACCTCTCAGTACCGGCGTTGCACGTCCAGGCCGGTCACGTCCAGACCGAAGGCGTTGTCACTAAGCAGGCTGTTAATCCCCACCCCCTTACAGCAGGCTGTTAACCCCCCTTAATTGGTAGGCTTAGGGATGGCTGTTACTCCTTTCCATCTCAAACATATGTTTTGAGAGAGACATATCCGTTGGACAGCAGAGAGTGATTCAGTGATCTGCGGACTGGCAAGAAATGATAAGAAATGTATAGTTTGAAGGACGAACTCCACCCAGTAAGATAGGGATAACTAAATCATGCCAAATCTACATATATAACAATGATATACCATGACTATAGCATACTATAGCTGTCTCCATCCTGTCTGCTCATTCCGGCTGAACACAACAGCTTGGGGGCAAACATCAGTGCGATGTGCGGGCCACATTTTTACGGATTTCGGTGGTTCCAGACACCTGCGATTGGGAATACTGTTGCCATTGTATGTTTTGTTGGGGTGGAGGTGGCGCATGCCGATGGCACAGGATGTCCTCTATGAACAGTCAATGGTCACTGTTACAGTCGTCACAGTGCAAGGAGATTAGGATAACATCAAGCGAATTGATTTGCCCTGTTCACCGGGTTCCGTTTGTAAAGAGGATCACTCTTTTTTGGCAAGGCCTTGGTGAACTTCTAAACCACCGATCATCATTCGCTGTTGCAGCGATTTGAATGGACCCAACATTTGACATGGATGTGGCCAAAAACATAAGGCCTCAAACCCACAAGAGTTTTACTCATTTTAGTCCACGTTTCCTCTTAGCAGTGCTTGACTGGCGGCATGCGTCCAAGTCAGAGCGGCAGGACACCGACTTGGCCCTGTACATCTACACGCGGATGCACCGCGGTCGGCAAAAACGGGGGTGAATTCGGATATCGGATATCCATCGACGATGTGTCGGTGCGCTGCCGTGCCGGCGTGCCGCATCGACGATGTGGGTTTCCAACGACCGCCTTCCTCGGCTCAACTGGCTTGGACCATTGGACCTCCAACCCAATAGCCCTCCAACCTACTAGCGATGGCCTACAACCTAGAAGCGATGGCCTCCAACCTACTAGCAAAGAAGTCTGAAGAAGGAGATGAAATGATTCCATCTCTGAAACCTCTATACTGAGTGATGCTTGTTTGTGGTACAACAATTTCCATGCCGAAGTGAACCATTCAGTAAGTTCACAACAAAAACTGGTCCAAATGGCAACACATGATGCCCTTCTTACTTATCCAGATCGATTGGGGTTGTTGTGCTTTGCTGTGATTCTTCAAGACCCTCAACAGACCGAAGCTTCCCTTCCTCATTTTCTTCTCTTGACAAAGCTTCTGAATCACGTGGACCTTCTCTCGTGGACCGGAAGCTCGCTTCCCTGCCTAAGGACCGGAGGTAAGCATGCCACATGGTCAGAGACCATGCAGAATCCCATGTTTCTCACCTTGCCCGGGACACTCAATGACGTCAAGGGTCCGCGCTTACTTCCGGTGGGGGGGGGATGAGGTGACTGCAGATCAGGGTCATAGGTGGCTGAAGCCGGGTGTCCTAAATTCGAAGACACCACAAGAAACAACTGGTATGAAAGATGGCTAAACCCCTCCTAGTAGAATAAGGTTTCTATATTTATAAGCGGGGCATCAGAAGGTCGGGATTTGTTTTAAATTTGGGGGTCAATCAGGAGAGATCACCAAGACTAAATCTCTTCATATCTCTTCATGAGGAGGGATCCCAAAGACTTGAATCTCCTCTACTGGGTTGACAGCACGTGTTGTTGCAGGTACCGAACCGGTGAGCGCTTGGGTGGAAAGACCAAGCTTTGGAGCAACCGATAACAGGATGGAAGCAACTTGGGGTTTGATGGGTGAAAGTCACCAATGAAATCCCGCCTTTGCCAGGCGTGTGAGGCTAGTCCACCTCTGATTTATCACTAGGCCCCCCGAAGTGACCTCAAATAGACTTAAGTACTGTTTTAAGTACTGGTAGTATTACCAAGAAAAAAGAAATCGAGGAATTCATATATACATATAAATACACAGAAACAAGGAATATCTAGGTCCAGTGGCCAAAACATTTAGCTCTATTTAGGGCGTATATATCCTTTTGCTTTGGGATTTGCTTAGCTTTATTCAGGGTGAGTTGATAAATCATAGGTTGACAGTCGACATTACACAGGCCATTGCAATGTGGGCGGCCCAACATGAACCCTTCAAACGCCACAAGGCTTTCAAAACTGGTGGGTCAGATGGACTAGGCTTGCTCGGGGTAGGCAGATGGGAGTCGTGGACCTCCTGACTCATGGACCTCCTACAGAGCAATATTTGTGCATGAATGAAGGAAACATGTCAGAGTTAGATGGACCATTTGTTGATGTCCACTGCTTCGTGCCGAGGGCCGCAGTCTTGGGTGTGGCTTGCTTTGTCAACCGGTGGCCCAGCTTGAAACACAGAGTCGGACCTGCGGCGTTCAGAACACGAAAGCAAAAGTGGTCGACGTCCACATGTCCCGTTGTTATTTATGACCCATGTGTTAGAACCTGCTTGAGGTTCATGGATATCCACAGCTGGCAGGGTTGAAACCTTACAGTTTCAAGAACTATGATACGGCACCTCACTCACCTGAAGTGGACAACAGATCGAACAACCTCAAAGAGGCAATGTCAAGTTGTCAATGTGTAGTAAGAACATTCAAGAAAAACATGGTCGGGTTTCATTTGCTGCATTCGTTTCATTTGCTGAATTTTTTGGTGTTGGCATTGTTTTGAGCTGAGGATGGTGATCTTTGACCTGGTTTGGGATCTCATTGCCTTGCGCTTCAACTGATTTCATGCAAGGGAAGCTTTTTTTGGATGGTCATGTAATTCACAAAATCTGAAAAACACCAGACCACAGTTTGTTCTCCATCCACCAGTGCAAAGGATGAAGATTATGCTTAGCAGCAAATGCAAACTACCATCAACTGACATTTGTCTCAAGTGCATCCTTGGATGACGCTTGCGACAAATTTCTGGGTTTGGAAAGACATATATTGTTCTGGTCATACAGACAAGATCAACCAAACATGTTGACGGGGTTGGGATCGCCAAGAGTGAATGAAGTCCAACGTTGTACCGCAAGGGATCACCAGGCAGAACACCCTGTCAAGGGTTTATCCACCAATGCTTTTGTGACAGGAAACGTTTTGAAGAGATCAGAGCAGTTCGGAACTCAAAAGACGCCGCTGTGGAACCATCTTCAATCTCCGTTGTCCACAACTCGAGGGAAATCGTCCAATTGTCAATTTAGGTCTATGGTATCTTGAACGATGGAGGTCAAGAGTCTCTGACCAAAAGAAGCTTCCCGGTTTGGAAGATTGACCATAGTGTCCGCAAGCTTGATAGTCGCGATAGCAAATTGGCATTCAGGAACGGCCTGTTGTAGTTTGCCAAAGCTGACTACAGATACAGAAGTGGAGTCCTGGAGAGGGATGTTGGTGTTTAGATTCATGGTTTCTGCGTAGTGTTTGGGCATGTAAGTATCTTCCGTCCAAAACAACAGCTATAGAATGCTATAGATGTCACCAGATCGATCGAACAGCTGAGACGTGGCCTGGTCAACCTTCTGTGAACCCCTCAACGCTCCAGTTGGAGGCTCAACTCGTTGAGAGCTGCCAAACGCAGCGAGAGAACGTCGCGCCCGGACACCGCGCGAAAAAAGTCAACCACTCCGTGGACTGGGCGAGTGATGAGGAATCTTGGGGGATTCTTTGATGGCAGCGTTGCCCATTGAACACATTTGAACACCAAGTTCTTCCGGGGATGAAACAAGGAGCATGCAGGAGCGTCCGCACCATGCATCAGCTGACCACTGAGGACGGATTGCACATTTCCTGTGCCGGGATGAGGCCCTCCTTGACAATCCGCTTCCAGCATGCAGGCCTTGTGCGGTGGTAGGCGAACTCACCCTATAGTTATTCATATATTGCTCATCTCCACCATCCCATCCTCGGCCACATCCAGTTTCAGTGGTGCAGAAATCTATGACTGTATATAACCCACCAAAGAAGTGGAGAACTTCCAATGTTCTTGGCACGCTTGGGTTCTTAAAAGAACCACATGTTTTTTTGCAGTATTCTACCAGCATAGATGGATCTCAGTCGACTCCTGGGCAGTTTGTCTTGCGCCCGTTGGACCACTTGACCTGCACCAAAAGGCACGTCAGCCGAAGCCAGCATGTCCTGAAAGCGGCTCGTTAGCCTTCCAAGCACCGCTTCAAGTCCGAGGTGCAATTATTGAAAAAGAACGTTGCTAGGTGGTGGTTTCCGATATGTTTATTGGATAATTGAACTCACTGACCAATACTGTATCAATATGTTTCAAGTGAGATGAACTGGTGAAACCACCAACCAGATTGGCAATTTGCTTGGCATCTGCCTTGATGTGCACAGAGAGTTGGAAGATATTCGTGGGCCATGGGATGCCATGGGACATGGGATACCATGGGACATGGGATACCATGGGACATGGGATACCAATGGCATGATTGCAGATGTTCTAGCCGAATCGAACGTGTAGCAAACTCGGACAAACAGAGAGAGAGACCTGAGGACCGACGTTTTGACATTTGCAGATGCAGGCAGATGCAGAATCAGGAAGGATGATCATCAAAAAACCCAGGCGTCCCTTTCCCTGGCGCGACCGCCACTGTTGCTAGCAAAGCAGCCCTAGAAAGACTTTAAGCAAGAGTTTCCTCTACCTAATCATACAACAATCTTTCGCAAATCAGCATGACTGATTCCAACCACCTCGGCGATTTTCCACCCGGGTTACGCCCGGATCCGCTTCTTCAGCATGGCGATGATGGATGATGACGGTGGGGACCGTGCCGGAAAGGGGCCAGTGGTGTCCATGTGCCATGGGAAAGACCTGTGCGGTCGGAGGGCGGCAGGTCACCCTCAAGCACTGTCATGGCCGTTTTCCGTGTGGCCAATAGGTTCTGAAGAGGAAGACCATAGACCCCCAAAATATCGAAGGCCAGGTTCCGCAGCATTTGGGATCCATGGGCACTTTGCTTCGAACACTGACCACCAAGGCTCCTGGCGTGACCCACTTCTGATAGCCTGGAAATCACATGTGCTTCCCTGCTTGCAAGTCATTTGCACAACCCAGTGATTTTTTCTCCAAGATCTCAAATCGCAATCAACTTCACCCACCATCTACATCCATCTCCCATATTCTCTGTTCACTCTCTACCTCTGCCCCCTTTCCAGACCCACCCCCCACCCGAAAAGCACCCGAAAGGCCACAAAGAAGGGTCACGGCTCGCTTCCTCGCTTCCTCCACCCTGGTGGCGTCGTTCCAGGCGGTGGCGCCACCGTGGTGGGCGCCGTGATGGACGACATGGAGGACATCGACCTCCACAGCCGCTCGCTCGTGGACGAGTCTCAGCGGTTGGAGCGGGTTTTCAGACGGGGTGTGACAGATGACAGGCGCAGGGGGCTTGTTCTCCATGAGTCCAACGTGTTTTCTTTTTGCCATTGGGGACCAGAGTTCTGAACTAATTTCAAGCTGGTCCCAGCCTTGCAAAGGCCGTGACATCCGTGAGTGTGACCCGGTATCAATGATCTACCTCTTTGTTTTTGGACAGTGATGGAACCTTTCATGAATGAATGACTGTTTGAAGCATGGTGCTTTACCAAAGGTAATCTGACTAACAAGGCTGGAGAACGTATTCGTCGCAAGGACCAGCTCTGGTATGACAACAAACAGGTTTTGATGTTCCAGGATGGGCACTTGATACCCACCTTGATGTGGTTTGGGCATAGTTGTTTCCATCGCTGTTTGGGAATGTGGACACGGTGTAAATGACCAACCAGCAACCCTTTTGCACCAATGCCACCAGCATATCATATCCTATTGTAGATAGCTATGATGCCTCGATAATTTGTAGACCATGTATTTAGCCCTTCACAGACCCAGAATCCTCTTGTATCGATCTGTTTGAGTTCCATTCATGCCAAGACTTGCAGGCCACTCAACCATACTCAACCATTCCACCCAGGAGCCTCCACTGTGGACTAGACACACTTACTTACTTTACTACCGTTACTATCCACAGGTGCTGTCGTCCCGTGTCTTCCGTGAAAACACACCGTGTACTCCGCTCATCCCAGGCCTCGATGATGAGACGCAACGCTGCCCGGCCTTCTCTCGACGCGAAAAACTGTTTCACCACCGGTGAGGCCCGAGCGGCTGCCCGTTGGATGCTTCCACACCGGAAAACAACCGGAATCAACACCACATCGGTATAGCGGAGTCCATGGGATGGGGTGGACCATTCGGACCTTTTGGGCAAAGGAGGCTTTAGGGGATTCACCGGTCGGTCTTGTGGGAGGCAAGCTGAGGACCGGCGGGATGCCGGTCGTCACCGGCTGGGGAGCAAGGCTTTGATTGAAGTGGTTCATCTCAAGATCCGGAAGTTCATGGCTGGTAGGAATTGGTTTGGATTTCAATTTCAGTCTTGAACTAACATCTGAATATACAATTATAGTTCCATGTATCGCGGTGGGTGATTTTGGGAAACAGCCTTGCAGACCAGGAGGTTTAGACTTGGAACATCAACTGTACTTGAGCATCATAGTCCAAAGGCTTCATGTTTTCATGACCCATACGTGTCGTTCGAGAATCATCAAGAATGACCCCGCCCCACCCCCGAAGCCATCCGAAACCACCACCTTGAGCCGGACCCCCAGAAAGAATGCCAGCCGTGATGCCAAGGCTTCATCCTAGAGACGCACCTGGTCGCTTGCTGGCCTGTTTGAGCTTCCTGCATCGCGGGCACACGGGCCGGACACGCCGTACGTCGTGCTCCTTGTCCCAGGGGAGGGATGAGGAGAATTCATCAATCTGAGGGATGGAGGGGTCGAAATGGTGCCAATTTGGTTGGACCACGAGTGACACTAGTGTTTAGGCCTGGGCAAGACCAGTGGGCGGGTGTCTTGCGTATACGAGTTTTTTTTTTTCCCTGGACAGCGAAGCGACTGAAGCAGCAACTAGCAATCCGCCTGCCTGTACACACCCATCTTTTGGTCTGAAAAATGCTTAATCCAGGCTCCGACTCTTTTGCCTTTGTGATCTCGACCAAAAGCGAGCAGTTTCTGTTGGTCTTTGGAGCAACTGTTGCATCATGAGTGAGTACGGCTTCTTTAAAGAATTTTGAAGTAGTGTTTAAAATGTTTAAACCTGTTTTAACTGGTGCTGTTTTGATCCGGCTCAGTGTCGGTGTGTCTCCGCTAAGACCCCTGTGAGGACGCGCCCCCGTCCGGCCCAATCGGGTTGGGATCGGGTGCAACGGCCACACGGGGTGCAACAGCCAGGAGAACATCGGTTTCATGGACTTCTTGGGTTTTGAATTAGCCAGCCTCTCCTCTCAGCCGCTCAGCTTGAAAAGAAAGGCTACTTTGGATGTGGGTTCGTTGAAGAACAACCAGCAGGGTACCAATGTAGACCGTTGATATTAAACCCCTCCATCTGGATGGTAAACCATTTCCATATGGAGGGGGGGTATATATGAATCAACCGCCTATATTTAAATTACGTTTGGAGGACCAACACCGTTTTGGTTTTGAGGAAGAGCGTTGGTCATCTATTGCTGTGCGGCAAACGTTCTTTGGCATGTAGAAGTTGTTACTGCAGCCTGATCGTGCAAATTATAGTCGATATACATTAACTTACTAAGCTCGCGGAAAGTCGTACTACTACTACTACTACTACTACTACTACCACGACGACTACTACAACAACAGCTACTACTACTACTACTACTACTACTACTACTACTACTACTAGTACTACTACTTCTACTACCGCTACTACTGCTACTACTACTGCTACCACTACTACTACTACCACTACTACTACTCCTCCTGCTACTGCTACTGCTACTGCTACTGCTACTGCTACTGCTACTCCTCCTACTACTACTACTACCCCTGCTACTGCTACTACTACTGCTACTGCTGCTGCTACTACTACTACTACTACTACTACTACTCTTACTACTACTACTACTACTCCTCCTCCTGCTACTGCTCCTACTACTGCTCCTACTCCTACTCCTACTCCTACTACTACTACTACTGCTACTACTACTACTACTACTACTACCCCTGCTACTGCTACTACTACTGCTACTGCTGCTGCTACTACTACTCTTACTACTACTACTACTACTACTACTACTACTACTACTAGTACTACTACTACTACTAGTACTACCACTACCACTACTACTACTACTACTACTACTACTACTACTACTACTACTACTACTACTACTACTACTAGACAATACGAGTAGTAGACAGACGCGTGTCGTTCTTCAATGCTTGCTCAGAAAATGAGTGCGAATGTTGGCATGTGGGGTGATGCCGACAGAGGACATGCCAACTCTTGGACTGTCCGCCCTATTCATTCTAAATTCCAACTCTTCGGCGTGGCCAATTTCTTGTAATTAGTGATTTAAGGTCACACATCAACAATTCCAAAACATGACATTCCCAAGACACAGTGTGTCCTGACTAGAAATTCCCAACACTCCTAGTGCGTGATGGAAGTTATCCACTTCCGTCCCTGAGATTGGAGAATCAGACTGCACTCCCTGAAATGATCACGGAAGGTGAACATCACAAATTTCCTCTACAAACAGGTGGTTTTCCACTTTCATGGTTGTTTCAGGGAGTGTACCAGCGTGATTTCTTCCTTCAGTCGCGCGCATTGGACCAATGGGGAGGGACCACAAGTTGATCAGGTAGGACCCACAAAGCTGCAAAGCATGGAAGCAACCGCAGCCGGCGTCCGCGCAGCGGACGTCGGCGCAGCGGACGTCGGGGCGTTTTGGTCGACCCTGGAGTAGTACCACTAGGTGCAGGCGCTGTCACTTTTGGCCACCATTTAGCGGTGCCGGGGCTCTCACAGCCAGAGGCACTCGGGCTTCAACAGTTTGCCCAACGTCGTGCGCTGAGATGGGGCGAGAAGGCGGCCTCGGTGTTTCATGTTCTCCCGGTGAAACAGAACTTGGATCGTGGATGATTTTCCTTCGCATGCCAAAGACCTTGTTACTAGTAGTTTGTTGCTACTATAGTAGGTAGTGGCCTTGAACTGAATAGCGATGGCCTCCAATCTAGAAGCGTTTGCTTCCAGCCACTCAGTCCAAGACTTTCTTTGATCCCTTTGGGGAGTAGATGAGGTCGATTCCCCAGAGAGAGCGGTTTGAGCGGATTTGTGTTCTTTCGTCAGGTCCAAGGTTACGAGAAAAACGTCCTCCATCAAAACTGGGAACACAGATCGGAATTTTGAGGTTTTTTCTGCGAACTGTCACCACCAGCATTCTCCTCATCTCCAGAAAATGACGATTCTTTGGGAACTGCCCCTCCCGTTGACCGCCCAGGTCAGCGACCGACGTGGTGCTGGTGGCATGGGCAACGGGAGCGCTTTTGTCGCCCGGTGGAATGGACCGTTTGGATTCCATCGGCCAGGTGATCAGAAGCTGCTGCGACTCCAACGGGAGATCCAGTCAAATCCTCTCCGTATAGAATTTTATGCAATATATGGCAATATCATGTCGAAGAATGCATCCAGGACACTGTTTTTTTTTTTTTTAACCATACCTTGCGCAAAGGTGTGGGGATGTGTAGGGTAAAAAACGATGATTTTCCAGCATCCATCAAGTCTTCTGACACCACTTCCAAATCTACCAAGGCGAAGTGGTATGATTTCACACGATAGCCAGCAATTATTCCTCACAGTTTCCACGTAATTACTGGTAGGTCCTGAGAAGATCTGAGCAACCTGGGTCCAGGTTATAGGTCAAATTACCACCACTCCAGTTCACTCCCTTAAACACTTGTTTGGTCGTTTCCCGAATTGTGTCGACACTCACCGCACCGAACGGTGATGAGGTGACCACCATGAAGTCCTTCGTGGGTATGGGCATTCTGAGCCTTGCTGGGTCGTATCGGGGTGTTTGTTCTTCTCCAGTGGCGTGTTCCTTCCGTAGAAGGTGGCTATTTCTATTCATGTGTTTCTTCCCAAGTGAGGGCATCCATGCCCGGACCCTTTCAGCAAAAGTATAATGCCTCCACAAGCAATGTGGTGGGGCTTTCATTGGTGGAGAGTTTATGAGACTTCTGAGTTGCTGAGGGAATCATGTTTAAATGATTTTAAATGTTGCTTTTCTCAGGAAAGGGTCATTGTGTTGATATTGTGATGGTCATTGTGTTGAGCTTCCATCGCAGAGGATTCTAGATTCTAGCAATATAACTTGTATTGGTAGTTATGTACTTGTTGATTTCGTTGAATTCCAATGTCCCAGATGGTCTCGAGTGGCGGTTGGCTGCTTGTTGTTCCTTCAGGTATATTTGTCACAGAGATCAAAGGGATGGAGCCAAGATTTGAAGAGGGCTTTTGGAAGACATCAAAAAATCAACCTGTCCTGCATTGTAGATGCTAACTCCTGTTCAAAACAATGCCTGTTGCACATGCATTTTCTGTTCTCTTACGGAGGTAAGGGTATTGGGAGGTGGGACATTGAGGAGCAATCTCCTTTCCATTCTTCTTGAATCCTGAGGATATCCAAACGCCTGCACCAAACATCGTAGCCACCCGTAGCCTTCTTGGCGCAAAACGCCTCAGCGTGACCACGTGCGGAAACCCCACTCACTTCGTTGCGCTGAACTCCATGTGGTGCCGAACTCGGGGGAATGGGGTGGAGTGGACTGGCTCCGAGTGGTCCAAGTGATCAAGGCCACCGAATTCTGTGCTCTACAACCGGAATTGGCCAAAGAGACACGGCATCTTCAGCTGACAGCTGACAGTCTCACACCCAGCCTGGGCTGTTCGGCTGTTTTTTGACCGTCCAATCCGGTAGGCCACGGAACACGGGAGAGAGGGTCATAGCATGAGAAACATCCCGCTTCTTGGTCGAGTGAATAAAGAACCAAGGCAAAGCACTAAGGAGGTCGTACTCCCTGGTGAACAGATTCTATTCGTTCTATTCATCCCCTACATATTCCACTATCAATATCAATGGTTGGGCAAACTACATATTCCACTGTCAACCTCCTCCACTCTTTTGTTTTCTTCTCTTTTTCCTCGCCTTTTTGCATGGCTCAGGTGGCTCCTCGCTTTGGGAGTGCTAGCAGAGACCAGGGATGTTCCCCAGCATTCCGCGCCCTTGGACGCCTGCGACACCTGCGAGAGCGAAGGAAATTTGTTACTGCAAAGCCAGGCCGCTTTGACTAACTCGTCGGTGAGTGGGTCAAAGCAAATATGGTCAACCTTTGAGTCAACCACCAGTATCAAATACTCCTGACCTAGGTTGGAAGAAGTTTGTGAAGGTGTTTTGAACTGGAATCCCTTCTTTTGTTGAGCCAAAGATTCGCAACTGGGGGTGGTGAGCCAGCTGAAGCCAACCAACAGCTGTTGGAAAGAGAACACCTATATACTATTTCATAGCATCCCCAGGTTACATAGAAACGCGGTGTATTACTACTACACTACATTTGTAGACGGTATTTTTGTAACCATGTTCTTTTTGGGTCCTGAAAGACAGGTTTTCTGTGTGTCCCAGCTCGTGGTCGTTTGCGTTTATCATGCATCGGCCATGCTGACCCCTCAGTCTCGGCTCGCTGCTCCACGAATTTTCGGGAGTCCTGTGGCGGCGGCGCTGTGATCCCTTTTGCGCTGTGGTACTGTGGTCATTTGAATGGTTATTTGATAGTGATCCCGGAATAGATAGTGGCACGGTTTCCAATACATGTTCTACGTGGGGATGCGCGAACTTCTACCTATTTGGGGACCACTATAGGTGATGTACGCCCTCAACAATTTTTGGATGTGTCCTTGTACTTGCGATTTTTGTTGTGCCTCTGCAATTTTGAGACGGTGGACCAAAGGACAAGGTCAGACCGAGGTCACTATCCACTGTGTATATATATATATATATGATATGTATAAAGGTTGTTACAGTTGATGAGCAGATGGCCCTGCACGTATGTAGAGCGAAAGAACCATATACATATATTACATACGTTGTAGAATGCTGAACAGGCCAACATAGTATCAGTTTAAACATATTTAAACATAATAAATCCAACTACCAATTGACGATTGGCGGACAGTTACATAACGATTTCACCAATGATGCTGGTGCTTCTCAGGCTACAGAATTCAATGCAGGATAATAGACCACTCTCTAAAGTAACCGAAGTAGCCGGCAGGTCCTCCCAGTTCCAATCCACCCACCAGCTCCACATGGAGTCGTTTCCTTTCTCACGTGTGGGAGCAGAAGTGGACAAAGCGGCCGCGTGTTTGTTCGATGGGTCAGTTGGGCCTCCTCTTTTTCCCCCCGCTTCCCCATCGAGACTTTTTGCCGCTTCGCTTCGCGGCTGAGTCACGTGCCTACTACATCCTACTACATCCGCGGCCGCTTTTGTCAAAAGGAACGACCGCTGTAGGGCCAGTCGACCAGTCCCTTCCGTCCCCGCGGTCTGACTCGGACTCGGACCGGTCCGTCGAGGCCACAGAAGTCCGACGTGGTCGAGGATCGATGGAGCTGGAGCTCAAGGCGATGGCAGGCCCACTGGAAGGGATGGTTGCAAAGGCTTTGAGACTTGGAAGAGTGGCATGCTATGGCTATCTGACGTACCAGTGCATTAAGGTAGACGTATACTTGGACATAATTAAAGCCTCAGCCACATGCAGGTGCACTTTACAATAGCAGTATCAGGTCCTAGCTGAGTGGGACAGCATTCAGTAATATTCGTGAATTGTCTACACGCAGTTCAGCGGGAGGAGTCCTTGGTGCTTGGCAAGCCCTGATGAATCGGGAGACCCATGGTACCGAAGTCATTCCAAGTACGTATGACGGAAGTTTTTCCCCGGTGACATACGAGCGGAACACCCACGTGGATCTCATCGTTCTTCCCTCAACACATGGAACACCTGCGGAGATCGAGATCGACTCAACCCTTAGGCGCATGACCCAATTCGGACGGTCATCTTCCGAACTGGTTCTAACAGGTTCGAACGTGCCATCGATCGCCTTGCGATCGAAAGAAACTGGTTCTTTCCCAGCCCTCGTCACATCATGCAAGTACTCTGCAAGGACAAAGATCTTGGTTGGTCACAACAAATACGTTGAACTATGTCTTTCATGCCAGAGGTCCTTGGGACGTCTCCCTATCTTATATAATACAAACCCATATCAACTGTGCTGGTCTTTTGGCTGTTTGAACAGTTTCCAGCAACACTCGCGGTGCTTGGCAAGTAGCCATCCTACAGATATTCAAATAAATTCTTGCTGATCTACAGCTGCCTGTTTGCCCGGAGGGAACTCCAATGCATGATCGAAACGCCACCGAACGCCACCGACTTCGCTGCCCCAACGGCCACCGACGCATCGGTCCATATGGCGACCGAGCGGGACCGATGGCCGTCGATGGCCGTCAGGTCAGAAGATTTGGGATTGGAAAGACAAGCCGATGATGCTTCCAGGCTATACCATGGACATGAATGGCAGGCGAGTTTGGACGCAGTCGAGTCACTTTCACTGGCCATGGTGCGTTGGAGAGTTGGTGGTTGGAGATACTCCGGGGTGAAAATAGATGAGGTGACTTTTTTAATTGCGCCAGGTTTAGGTATCAGGGGCATTCAGGTGTGTTGCGCCATCTATGCGCCCCGTGGCTAAAAAACAGGAAGATTCTGCATGATTTTGTGCACTATTTTGCAGAAAATGGCGGAGATTGGGACCGCTCCATCTATTGCCCCACCGCAAAAGGACATCAAAAGGAAACAAATAAGTTCAAGAGGCAAGAGGAAATCAAGAAGAAATATGAGGAAATCACTATTGGTACCGGGCCACACATTTTTGCTCAAAGGTCAAATGTACAGAACTTGGCCATTGGGCCATCTATAGGCCCCAAACGTTTTTTGGGAAATAGGGAAAACTAGTATCCGCACAGACACCCCGCAGAATTTTAATTTTCTGCAATCCAAAGACCAGTTGCGCCATCTATGACGGCCAAATAGCGAGAAAAAGGAGTTACATGGCGCGGCTGTTCCCGCTATATTTTTTTTTTGAGTTGCGCCAACAACTTTCACCCCGGTGTATATGGTTTCACAATGCTGGCAGAATTTGGAATGAATATTACTATTACATTGTACACCTTCGGAATTGAACGAAATGGATTCAGGTGGTCTACATAGTGAGTTTACTTGAGCTCAACGTTTGCGGCGTGGATGCATGTCGCTGCTCACTTGGACCTATACTTTCAAAGCTCGGAACCTGAGGTTCAAGGATAGGCCCAAGGTTGTGGAAAGCTCGCAAGAATGTTAATTGACAAGGAATCTGGGACTCTTTAGACTAGACGGTGGTGAAACATTGATTTGTTCACTCTGCGTCCCACAGCGCGCCAAGTGGCGAGTCTGACAGAGACCACACGTTGCAGATCAGCCTCAGTTCTAAGATGAGACAGGGCACATTTTTCAAGATCCTCATGCCGAAGAAAGTTGGCATGTGTATTCCCGTGCGATAGAAAAGTTGGTTTGATCCCCAAGGCCCAAGGAGTTTTTTTTGGTTACCAGTCGCCAACCATGCTTGCTGCTGATCTGCAATTTGGTGAGTGTCCATGCTCTTCAACTACATTACTGCACATAATAGAGATGCTATGGTATGATAAGGACTCAATACAGGCAGGCGCAAGATCAAGTTCTTAAATTCCAGTCAAATGTTCACATCAAACTCTTCCTAGTCCAACTAGAGTGCATTTACAAGACAATTTGTATATCCACTCAAGAGTTTTGCACTTTGGCACTTGCATCAAATAGTCTGTCTAGAGAGCACTCCTACTATCTCCTACTTTTCTCATATAGTCCAGAAAGGGAAAGCAAAGCAGGGTTCAGGAACGATGGATGCTTCGTTTCCAACCAATGCGAGGCAACTTCCCAAGTTATAAACACACCAATTCACATTCACCTCCTAGCACGTTCGGAACGGCGACCCAAATCCCCTACCATCTAGCTATGTGTTTGCATAGCTTCTCAAAGCACACAGGTGCCGGGGCACTCTGTGACAGGCTTCACCACCAGGGCCCAACAGACTTGCAGGGCCCAACAGGGTTTTTCCCACAACAGAGTCTCCAATGTGGTGCTAAACACTGGTAAATACATGTGCTATACATGCTTGGTTTTGTATACTACTCATATATACTCCTTGTGGTCTATACCCTGCCATGCTTGCGCCAAGCACGCTATTAGAAGGTCCACCCCCTCAGACCCTCGTCGATTGGCGCAATGCCAGGTCCTGCAGCCTTTGCGGAACCCCCGATGCTTCAGAGCTTTGGGGGGACTACAAGCAACGCACGGACTGTGGAAACCACAGCATTTTGGCCAGGGTTTCGTTGAGCGTGTGGAAGGGTGCAGGTTTTAAGGTGAAGAACCATGCCATGGTTTGTGGGGTTTGCAGGAAGCAACAGCAGCATTTGATTGACTGGCAGGATATGTTGTGGACATTGTCTTTTTAAGCAGTGGTTTTGCAGGCATGGTTTTTTTGTGCAGGTTGAATCCACCAACCCGTTACACGCGAACTTCTGGTACGCTTGTAGATTCCGGGATCAAGCAGGATACGGATACGTTCGCAATCTACGGGTTGAACTCTTCTTAGATCACTTGTAGATTCCAAGAAGTCATTGGACTTCGAGTGCTTTCGGTCCAGATTTCCTCTCGGAATAGCGTCGATGGACATTGGATCGGGACACTTCTTTTTAGACAACGCGGGGTGAAGGTGAAGCAGCAATGTCCAAGTTAAACCAAGTGGCGCTGCCTCAGGAAGCAAGTTCCTGTGTATTGCTGCATTGCCCCTTTAGATGGTATTGGCAATTGGTGTCCAACTAATTCTCTTGCATTGGGCTCCAATTACATCCTCAGGAGGTGGTTAAAACATCAGAACCCTTCCCATGTACTTTCTGAGGAGTTAGTTGTAGCCATAGGGCTTGAAACCAGCAGGTAACCGGGTAGCAGGTAGGTTGTGGCCACTGGATTCTGTGAGTTGAACGCTTTAGCCTTTCATTTGTGAGGGGCTACTGAGCTCGCAGCCGTTGGTGAGATGTAATGATTACTGTGTGTGTGTCAAACCCTGTTCCTAAGGGCTTTCCACCTTCATGTTTCCAAGGAGGGGGCATGGCAGCTGTTTCCCTAGCCATGCCAACGAAGCTACGGGATTCAGCCGGAAGGGAATGTGGACGCACATTCCTGTACCTGCAAGAAGAACTGTTTTTCAAGCTGTCCAATTTGGTTTGCTTTCATGGTCCTTCATGCTACCACCCCCAAAACAGGTTTCCCTCCGCTTTGCAGCCGCTTCCACTTGCGCTCGTTCTGAAACTTTTGTTAAACAATACTTTTCTGCGGACTCATGCGCCTTTCCGTTCCTTCACCTTCCTTCTCGACTTGGGAACTGAGCCGACTGAAAACCAATGTCAGAGTGTGAACCGCTCAGCCGTCCCACTTGGGTGCTGGGTGTGATCCCCGTCACTGGGGCGCTGGAAATCGTGTAACGGATTCATCGGTTTCTTCATTCGTTGGATTCTCTTAACAGCTTTGGTCTCACCACTGAATTGTCTGAATACAAAGCCGCCGGGCTTCCACGGAAAAACTTACTTACTGATACCACAGCCGCCGGGCTAAAAAACGGAATTCATTCCCACTTGAGGTCAGGCATGTCCCCCCCCCGCCGAGTTCTACTCCCTACCGAATTAGGGTAACACAGGGACATGGTACTCGACACACTTGTGTGTCGGTGCCTTGCCCTTTGTTGTCCCTGTTCTAGTCTTCTCTACCCGGGCGGTCTAAGACTAAAGTCCCGCTCCCTAACTATTGCACTTAATTCGCTTCTGCTAAGTAGTCAGTAACTCTAGAGTGCTAAGTAGTCATACACGCACACGGACGCACACACATGCTACATACATCCCCTCCCTGCCCCCCCTTTCTTTCTTACGCTTTTGGTCGTTTCTTGGGCTTTCTCTCAGGCTTTTTAGGTTGTTCTTGAGGCTCGTTTCCCTACCCCAGTCAAGGGCTAAGTATTCACCTTTTTTCTACCCCTATCTTTCTCTCTTGCCCTCTTAGCGCTGCTCTTTCTGTGTTTCTTTCTTTTGTTTCTAAGGCTTTTTAGGTATCTATTCAGGTTCTCCGCACGAGCGCCGCAAAGCGGCACCGTGTGTGTGTCAAACCCTGTTCCTAAGGGCTTTCCACCTTCATGTTTCCAAGGAGGGGGCATGGCAGCTGTTTCCCTAGCCATGCCAACGAAGCTACGGGATTCAGCCGGAAGGGAATGTGGACGCACATTCCTGTACCTGCAAGAAGAACTGTTTTTCAAGCTGTCCAATTTGGTTTGCTTTCATGGTCCTTCATGCTACCACCCCCAAAACAGGTTTCCCTCCGCTTTGCAGCCGCTTCCACTTGCGCTCGTTCTGAAACTTTTGTTAAACAATACTTTTCTGCGGACTCATGCGCCTTTCCGTTCCTTCACCTTCCCTCTCGACTTGGGAACTGAGCTAACTGAAAACCAATGTCAGAGTGTGTGCAGCTGAGGGTTTGAAACAATATATTTTTCCTGCTCGAAGATTTATCCAGCTAAGGTATTCAGGAACATCCTGACATTATCTTCAAACCTTTGAAAGACTTCGTCCATGGCGACAACAACGCCTGGTGCGAGTTGAACGTGCAGAAGATGTGCGCAGACACCTGCTTCACATTGGGTTCGGCTGGAATCGTGTTGCGGAGAAATCCAACAGCCATTTCATGCCATTTCCATTCTGTTCCATGTTCTTCCCTGGCTTCCTCCTTTTTTTCGACATTTTGATCCTGCTTTTGCTCTCTTCGTTTGGTTTCCTGAAAGACTTGTGCAGGAAAATGCCTATGTACATAGGGACCTTATGGGACCATATTAGTAGTCGCCAGAGGTGGGGTGATCTCAGGGACATCTCAACATAGGATCCATCCATCGCAGGAATTGGTCCATCAAGCTTTTCCGCGGGATGCTGAGGATGCTGTCTACAACAAGAATTACATGATCCAAGCCAAGCAAGTGAACACCACAGGCTCACCTGCCTTGCTCTACGATGCGACGTATTGCTATCACAACGGGTGGCTTGGTTCGCCTGGGGATCCTTCCGGGAGTGGCCACGTCGAATTGGTGAAAGGCAATATTGGCAATAATGATACATATATAATATATATATATATATTCTGCACTTTGTCTCAAGCAAGTATAGACAAGTATAGCATAGTATTGTAATGTTTCAATCATGATTTCGTTCTCGGTGCGACCTGATATGCATGTTTGGGTCATCACTGAGTGAATGGCACAGGACCCAGTCATTCACCACATGTGGTCAATGGTGAAGCGAGTGCCAAGATGATCCAGGAGACGGCTTCGGCAACTGCTATAAGAGCAACTTTCCACACAAGGATGTCCATGGATGGCAGAAGTGTGGTCATTCCACCGACATGGTATCTATAGTCCGACCAAACATGGACAACTACTGTTGGACGGAAGAAGTCCTTCACCACCTACGATGCTTAAAAACACTGTAAACCTGTGGATTTTAACATCTCCAAGTGCACGTTTTCTGCAGGCCAGCAGTGTTGATTAAATCCTACAGGGATTCCTGTTTTGCCTCTCAGTAGAGGTCTTGACAGCAGTTTAAAGAGCATCATATTCTTGGAAGCTGCACTAAGTGACAGCGCCTTTGAAGCATACGTTTGGTGGGGTGGTGGACTTTTGACATTGCATTTTATTGTCGCACGGCTTTGAATAAATCCAATGTTTTTCCCATGTATACGCGTCCGCGTACACTTGTAGGACACACCAAAAGCAATGGAATGTGAAATCTTTGAAGACACGTTTCCTAGATTCTTCAGACAGTGTCGTGCCTTTGGGAGAATAACTTCCATTTCGTGCTTCCCATGCAGCGGTTGATCTCTTCCGCCCCAGGTGGCTTGGAGCTGAGTATCGCGCCCTACAGTTCGACTTTGACGCGATGAAGGCTAAGGCTGACAAGTTTTGTGAGCAGCGCCTCAAGCTAACCAAGAACATGACCTTGGCCGAGACTTAGATAGTACTGCTGGGCTGGGCGCGGGACTGCTGGGCTGCGGTTTGCGCTACTTTTGGTTTGTACAACCGAACTGATCGCAGATGTTGTGCAGGTGAGCGAAAACATGTGACGGATCAGAGCATGATCCAGGCCTGTGTCCATCAAGGGTTGTTTGCTTACAGACAGAACCTAATGCAGCTGTGCTGTTTTTTCATGGATATTCCGAATATTCCCGGTTCCGCTTTGTCATGACAGACGGTTGCAGAAATTTGTTGTACCTGTTGCACGCTGCTTACACAACTGCATCCTACTAGTATAACATTTAAAGGGTCTATTACCTGACTCTAAATACACACACATATCACATATCATATAATTACACACTTTCACATATAGGATCTACTTGGGATAAGACGAGAATCTCAGAAGCTGTGGTCACCAAAATCTTCAGAGGCATTTCTAGCGGCCAAGCGACTCCCATCATCCGTAGATCATGGCCACTGGAGAAGAGCCCTGCAGATCGCCCTAATTTCACAACCAGTGAGTCCACCCTCTGAGTCCGACCTCAGGATATGATGGCGGTTTATGGCCCGTCCTTCATGCGGGGAGAGCCCAGCAAGGAGGATGCGCTCTTCTTGGGCGCCTGGACCTGCGCGATGGGTGCCTCTGGATGTGACATGACGTACTGTGCTTACAGCCGCTGGGTCGCACGGGACTTGGGACTCCCAGCGGAGTTGGCCAGAGGTCGAAATCGGAGAAACCGCTGCCCACAGACAGGCCCAGAAGCAGTTGTTGCTCTCGACTGGTAATACTGGTACAGGTTTGTGTGCGTGTCCTTGTATCAGACTTCAGAAGCATGATTCTTAATGCTTTTTATATCTCTTTATTGGTGTGTGTATATATATATATTATACCCTTTCTGTTGTTACCAAGCCATCGGTGTTGACTCTGAGGCCTACCATGCCCAAAGACATGTGAAAAGCAATACCCATGCCCAAAGCAACCTGGAAAAATGGACGGCCTGCTGTAATCTGTTTGGGTTCATGAGTTTTCACACGAAAGCTGGAACCACTGGGGAAGGCCTTTGGGGTCTGGGTGAAGTCCTCCTTCGGCGTTTCGGGGTGCTTGACATTCCAAACGCTCCTGTCTTTTCAAATTCCCTCGATTGGATGGAAACACTCCAGCCAAGCCGCAGTCCTCTTGCAATCCTTTTGCAAACTTTATAATCCTCAAATTTATAAGTCCCTTTTCCGAATCTCCTACCACCTGGCCGCGCTTTTCCGAGGCTATTGCCAAAAGCCTGACGGGTCCTTTGGTGCCTATCACGAGTGCGAGGGATGGGATCCTGAGAAGGGCATGCCTGTCAATTAGGCGCCAACAGCGCCGCTCCACCACACCGTGAGGCGCCCATCAAATGAGGGCGGTTCTTTTGCGTCGCAGGCAGTGCGCCGACCGTGCGGTCCTCGGGTGAGTCGGGCCGAAAAAGGACTGGTGAGATGGAGTGAGCGGGTCCTTTCCCATTCACCAACTGGGTCCAAATCGCTGGCCGCACAGTCGACACAGCCAGGATTTGCGTTGGGATTTGCGTTCGGATCCGCTAGGCTATTAGATCCAGAGCCTAGTGGATCCAGTGGATCCGTCTGATTCCGATGAGTCAGGTCCTGGTGTGTTGAACGGACCACCCCACCGTTGAAGGGACCGATCTGTTGCACTGAGTCCCAAGACCGTCGTTGATCCGAAGCAGTGGCCTTGGCACCCCCCCAATACATGGTTTAGCAATGAAGAGCTAGGGTTTCTAAGCTAGTCATGAAGAATTCTAATGGATTTTCTACCTCAATGCTGGTGATCTTGCTAGAGTTGCATGGTGCAGGATGTTGTCCATTGGAGTCTTCTTTTTCAGCATCCAACAGAATCAACAGATGTGGTTCAAGAAAACCCAAGACAAAGTGAACATCGACAGAGATCCGTGTTTCGACTTCTGCCAAGTTGGGGCGCCAAGAGGATGTATGACCCACACCTTCAGTTGCGAATCTTGGTGATCAAACATAAACAGGAACAAGACAATGCTCCCGACCAGGAGTGCACTACTGATGAAAGAAGTCATGTACCACCTGTGATAAGGAAGTCCATGGTTTTTGCGGTGTTTGGTGCATAGGTAGTGCATGATCTTTTTCATCAACTTATTGTAGGTATTTGATGGTCTTTGTTTCGTCCCACCAGAGGAAACCAGGCATTGTCGATGTGGGAGGGTGGATGCATCCGAATGACGAAACGAAACGAACCGCCGGAAATGACTTCAGCTTGATCGCTGCGAGCATGAACAGTGAACCTCACACAGAAGACTATCACATGCTTTGAACGACATTTGAGAAGAAACACATAGCTGGCTGGAGTTTGAGGCAAACAAATGAGCAGGGCCTGGTTATATTCCTCAGTTGGGGGGGCGATCAAAGGAGCATATGCAAGGGGGTTAAGTGCCAGACAGAAAAGCAACATATGTTTCCTCACCTTGCTCTGGCAATATTCTGGCGATTTTCCCTTTGCAGGTTCCATACATAGAATTGGCAAGCATTTGTAACATACCTGCAACAGCGGTGCTACGGGATGAAGTAGGGCATTTGCAGTCGGCGCTGCAAGGCACTGGATGTCTGCCTCGTAAACCGAGAGGTGAAAATGAGAGCCAAGCTCATCTAATCGCCAAATCAATTCAAATCATTCTTTTCGTGAATGTTCATGAATGTTCCACAGAAACACGTGACACCGGTCTGGTATTGTTCCTCCTGAAACCGGAGCTGATATTCCGCATGATGCTTTTTATCTTCACCTTTCACCCGTCAACCCAGCAAAACGATCAAAACAGCAGCTTCCAAACTGCTTGCTTCTCGTATGGGCCTGGTGTGCTGTGGCTCCGACCAAGCTGTGGACAGACGTTTGGAGCGCATGGCGAAGTTCGGGATCCACAGATGGGGACGATGACCGTTTGTGGACGTCGACAGTGGATCGCAGCTCGCGACCCCATTGAGGATACCCCGAAAGAACCTCGAAAAGCTGATGAGATGATCAGACCAATAGTACAAAAATGGTACCATTCAAATGAAACATATTGAAATCAAAAGCTTCCCCAGAGCATGGTAAGTAGCTTACTGTAGATCAGTGATGATGTAGGAGCAAAAAACACATGTCATGGCCGACTCTTCCAGTCGCTTGGCCCTCCAGTCGCTCGGGTGGTCGTCACAGAACTTCTGGCTTTGAGCCACGGACGTGGCGAAGCAAATGGAGTTGGCAGGCTGAATCAGCCAAGAAGTCCCTGAAGTTCCTCGTGTCATTTCAAGAAGTACCAGTACAGTACTACAGATGTCCAATTTAATGGTCAGAAACTCATGGCCACAGTGAAGCTCTTGGTATTTGATGGATAGCCTGGAGCTATGGTTGATGACGCATGTTCACAATCTAATTTTTTATTTGTTTCAGATTTCATCATTGAGGTTGTCAAACCCATACCGAGACCATCCGAAGGTCCCCAATGGAAGCCTACCAGCTTATCAGTTCTCAGAGTATACGGTAGCCAGGTGGCCTCGGACGGTGCCTGCTAGTCTCATCCCTTGCAGAAGCTTAGTTTGGGAATAGAAGCGGGAACATTTTTGTCTCAGGGCTGAGCAGAGACTGGCCGAACTGAGCCATTGGTTTAGCAAAGCTCACTGGCAACAGAGTTCATGCCGCGCACAACCCAGCATCGTATCTAGTTGCTTCGATTTGAAGACGAGACTGTCAACCATGCATGCATAATATATATTCAGTCTTGAATGGCCCACGAGTGCTAAGAAGCAGACTTTTGACATCCTACCTTCAAAGCAGAGTGTTAAGCAGTTCATTTTAGGAAGCACATTTCTGGTGGTTTCCGAGATAGAAGGTGTTCCAGAAATACCATTCCAAAGCGAATAACACGCAAATCACCACCTGAGGCCAGCCATAGACCGTTTGGTCCTTCTGAATCGCTCTATCCACGACACGACACGACGCTACTGTCGCCATGAGCTTCTTCACACGAAAGAAGAAAGAGAAGCCTGCGGCTCCGGCGGCCACGACGAAGTACGAGGCCTGAAACGTCTGAGAAAACTGGAAGGGAGACGAGTTTTAACTAAAGGAGGGTTGCGATTAATGTCTCTGCAGTAATGTCTTTAATTACAACTCCTTCTCTTTGATGAACGGGGTGTTGATGAAGATGGGGGATGAAGGAAAGGAAGCGAACACGAGCTTCTAAATGAACAGATTTGAAGTGTTGATGATGAAATGACATGGAACTCAAAAATATGCTTAAAGAAAAGAATAACAGGTAAGGCCGGCCTTCTTTGAAAAAGCCCGCTTTAAGCATGTTCTTGATTTCCGTGATGTTCCATGTGATTTCACCATGTTTCACCACGCAGGTAGGAGCCTCCGCTTCACCCAGTATGGCAGTTGTGTGTTTTTTTTCCAGGAGGGACTGATGGACTCCGAGTGTTCACTCGTCTTTTTTTAGGCGGTGGAACATGTCAACCTCTAACTGGATCTAACATGATCCAACTAGGTGATTGCCGGACTGTTCAGTATACGATATCTTTAGAGTAGCTATACATAGCTATACAATGTATATATATAAGTACCATGCATTAAGTAATCCGTCTTCCCCATTCAACTGATGTAGGCCCTGCTGGTTCTCTCCTGGCTCCACATGGGCCGGAAAAAAAAGGACCAGTCTGTTGCAAGGCTGTCAGCAAGGAGCCCGAACCGGTGAAGGAGGAAACCGACCCGGTGAAGGACGAGGCGAAAGAGGCGCTCTTGGCTGACGAGGCAGGCCCGAGCTGAGGAGTCAGCAGACTGGGGTCTCTGTCTCCGTAACAAGTCGGTCTTGGCTTACAACAAGCAGCTTTGGCATCAAACATGGCGTACCTACATGGTAGTAACAAGTGCCACGCTACTAGGAGCAAGTGCCTTACTAGTAGTAACAAGAAGCTATTAGGAACAAGTGCCACGCTACTAGTAACAAGTGCATCGCTAGTAGTAACAAGTGCCTTACTAGTAGTAACAAGAAGCTATTAGGAACATGTACCTACATATTTCACCTCCCCGTTTGCACCACCGGCAGGCGCCCGAGTCGCCGCTCACGGAGCCCATGGTGCCGGTGCAGACGCGGGAGCCGGACCCGCTGAAGCCCACCTTGCCGGACCCCCAACGCAGCGCATGGGGCGAAGGGGGAGAAGGGAAGGACTGGCATCTTGTTACCTGAAGAAGAGCTGTACTTAGAGCGGTTTTGGAGCATGTTTTTGAAGGTTCCGGAGGTGAAAGGCAAAGGATGGAGGTTTTTGGCCCAACAAAACAGTTGCTTCAACCAGTGAGGTGGATAAGGTGGATTCGGATTGGGTGTTTCAATGAACAGATGTGGTCACAAGTAGGTGAACATAGCTGAAGAGGCAGATGAGCTGTTTCGCAAGCTTGGGAACCAGGTCTATATGTTCTATGCAAGGCACTTGTGTGAACTCGAACGGAAGCAGCAAACCTGGGGAAAGTGGAGAAGAGGGGACTTTGGCTGCCACTGTAAGAGGAACTTGAGCATAGTTTGGTGAGACTTTGAGTGGCTTTCTCAGCGGAGTTTTGGGGCATGGTTCTTGTGTATGAGGTAAGGGTCTAAGCCTTTGTGTTGTTCTTGATTAGTACGGAGTTCAGCAGGAGAAGCAGCTAGCACTGGATTCAAGACAGAAGGGAAGCAGACTTAAGCATGCCAGAGATAGTTGATGATATATAGTTGTACCTCTATGGACAAATGGCGCTGGCAAGTGTATACGACAAACTCTCACATGTTGTACCCATTTGTGAGGCAACGAGTTGAATGGTGACTGTATATTTAAACATTCAAAAAATCAACACAAGCACCATAAAACACCTGGTCCTTTTAGCCCCCTTTTTTGTGTGTGATCAGATTGGCGGCAAGTTTGGTTCTTTGATATCCATTTTGGGATTTGCTTCATCTGACCCCCGGGGGAGTTTCCGACGCGGCATATGGCAGGTGGCTTTAGGTGGTGATGGACCACTTGTCCTTTGGTCAGAGGCTCCAAAGATCTGAAAAATATGAGACGGGCTTCTTGAAAGGAGGTGATCATGGTTTAGTGGCATAACAAGACCTGTTGGCCCATCAAGTCCACACACTGAGCTCACGTGACATTGAATAACATGGCTGTTTCGTACGAATAACATTGAATAACATTGCGAAAGCAACGCACTGAGTGTGCAAAGACATTTTGCATTGTGTTATCATATGTTAGCATAATTGATCACTACTTGTATTCGAAATTATGACCTTTGCAATAACTAAGTTTATGTAGAAACCATGTGAACCT